CCCCAAAACCCCAAAACCCCAAAACCCCTCCAATTATAAATTGAATGAAAATTGTAAAATTATGATTAAATATAAACTCAGTTCAATATATAGTTTTCTTGAGGATGAGGTGAGATCTCTCTCCATCTTGAATGTTTTCATATTCGTCTCTCTTGATGGTCATATCACTAAATGTACTAAAGCTAGCAATCATTGAGCCTCCTATCCAAGCAGCATATTTCCTATGTAGATCAGCATAGACATTAATATCAGTCTTTGTAGAATGCATTGCTAAGTTTTTGAGCTCATAGTCGAATCTCTCATGGAAACCGGGCATCAAAGTGCTTCCACCTGCCAACACAACATTATTATAAAGGTTAATCTTAAGATCTGCATCACATTTCTCAATTGCCTTGTAGGCGATATGGGCTAGACCTACTTCATCTCTACCAATTATTCTGGGATTAAAAATTGCTTCAGTTGCCTTAAAACGCTTTTTATGGTCCACTTGGATGATGCCCTTATCATCTGGTAGCTCATAAGATCTTTGCTCTTCATTTAGGGGATCTCTTTGATACACAGCTGATTCGTAGTTAAGGGCTACTGAGCACATTTATTCTTTCATTTCTCTGACATATTCGAAGTGATCTGGTTTTATTTAAATATTGTCATCTAACAATCCCTTCATAAGTTCATCAGTGACATCTTAGCCAGCAACATTTAAAGAGTGAATGGCATGAGGTAGAGCATATCCTTCAAAAACTGGAACTGTATAGCTCACTCCTTCTCCACACTCTGCAACTATACCAGTTGTCTTTCCAGTAGAGAATAATGATAACACTGCTGTATTCATTATAGCAAGAGATTCAACCTTGAATGTTTCGAACATGATTTGAGCAATTTCCTGCTTGTTTTCTTTTGTATTCAAGGGAGAGTCAGTTAGCAATACATTGATATTTTTTGGCTCTAAATTCAACTCGTGCTCGAAAATGTATTCCCAAAGGTTCTCCATGTGCTAAAAATCCTTGATGATGCCTCTTTCAATTGGCTGGTGAAGGGAGTGAGTAGCTCTTTGAGCAAAGGCTGAATTTCCAAAGGCATATTCAATTTTTTATTAAGAGCCATCTTAAGGTAAAACGCCTCCTGCTAGCACTTGCTATTGATTCGGATCTATCTGAACTTGATGAGTTCCTACGACTGTTGGAATGACACATCTTGGGAGATCTTCTCCTGAAAAGCCTGCTTTGATGAAACCAGTACCATGATCAATGACTACGAATTCCTTCTAGTCAAAGAAAGTCTCCATCTTTTTAAGTCTCTCTTGTATAGCTGTCATACTCGATTTAAATTATTTAAATTTATTACATTAAACTTCTGCAAATAGAATTATTTTGCTATTCGGGGTTTTGGGGTTTTGGGGTTTTGGGG